AGCCTGGCCGAGATTTTACTCGAGGCATGCAACTTTTGTTGCTTGAGTCGACTTTTATAGTCGTCATGATGAACTGGCGATATAGTTTCGAAAATTCAGTGTATCCAACAGTTATGTAATAAATATATAGACATTTCTGAAGAGAGCATTCAAAATCCATTTGATTACTGAGTATGATTTGATCGTGGTTCAGTACAAAAACAAATTTGAGAGTATTTTTTAAGCATAAAAGCGCTTGAGATGGGTAACATGCCAAGATCGCGGCAGTTGTCGTCCTTCCATATCTTCAAGTTCATATGCGCCTCTCTCGAGCACCCTGGTGACTGTGTATGGTCCTTCCCAATTGGCTTCAAGCTTCCCGACGTGTTTTAGAGCATCTGCTCGTTTGAGGACGAGATTTCCAACCTGGAATCGTCTGGTACGGACTTTTCTATCGAAGGCGGCACGCATCTTCTGCTTATATTCCATGGATCGCACCCATGCCTCCTCTCGTCCTTCTTCTATCATGTCGAGAGCCTCTTCGACCATCCCTTCATTCTTCCCTTCCTCGTAAAATGTTGATCGGTGCGAGCTTAAGCCAACTTCGATAGGTAGAAGTGCATCCATTCCGTAAACCATGTGAAAAGGAGACTGGCCTGTCGAGCTTCTTGGAGTCGTCCTATAAGCCCACAGGACTGTTGTCAGCTCGTAGACCCAAGCCCCTGATGCTTTCTCCAACCTCTTCTTCAATCCTTGGAGAATCGTTCGATTAGTCACTTCGACCTGTCCATTAGCCTGGGGGTGTGCGACCGAGGCGAATCTTTGCTTTATTCCCATGTCCATACACCACGCTTGAATTCGTTTCCCCTGGAACTGAGTCCCGTTATCAGAAATTAGGACCTTCGGGACTCCAAATCGGCAACAGATATTGTTAAATAAGAATTGGATCATCTTTTCCTCCGTAATTTTCGCCAATGGTTCCGCTTCGACCCACTTGGTAAAATAGTCTACAGCGACTACGAGAAA